AAACTAAAGCCACTTCAGCATGAGTTTGACCCCCACCTGTTCCCCTCAGCAGTGTACTTTGTCAGTCTGCCTGTTCTGCTCCCCACTCTGTCTCTGGTGAATTCTCTCACCCCCCCTGCACCTCTGGCCTGTACTACAGTTCTGTATGCACAAATAAATAAATCTTTAAAAAAAAAAGTCTCATAGAGGACTTTATAAAGGAAATAAATATGACAACTATACTCAACATTTTATTCCCAACACAACATCTTCACACAATAGATGCTTTATTAATTAGATTGAATGAATTAATAGTGTAATTCCAAAGCTGAGCTTTTTGTAGGTTAATATTAAAATCACACTGGCTAATTCAATAATGAAATAAATTCAAATCTTTATCAGATAACAAATATACATTGGTTTTAGAGTCAAACTACTAGTATTATAATCTTGACTTTACCATTGGCAAGCTAAGTGAAGTTAATACGTTCATTTACTCTCTACTTCAACTGTGGTTATCACACATTAGCACTCTGGCTAATATAACATACTACTAAAAGAAGTCAGCTACTGTTTCAACTTTATTGTTTGCTAATTACTAAACATAAGTTTTTTGGATTTCTACAGTTTTTTGTATGTGTTTTTGTTTTTTTCTTAGCAGACCCTAAATCTTTACATTAGGAGAATTAGAAATGCCAGAAGCAGAAAGAAATTTGTTCAGAGGTTTATGTCCTCTATTCCCAATAGCAGTTAGGAAGAATATTTTCTTGTGGATAAAGTTCAGTTTCTCAATATTCCCTCCAAATTTGTGTAGTTAAGAGTAAGTTCTCTGTAACAGTGTCTCAGTTATTTCTAAGTTCTTTTTGTATGACCTTTGAATCTTAAAGAAATTACTAAATTTCTTCATGCTCCATTTTACCACCTGTAAGATAAGGATGATTAATAGTGCCTTATCGGAGATTTGTTGTCAGAATTAAATGGCCCAGATTCTATAAAGTGCAAGCCTTAGTGGCTAGCCCATTGTAATAGTGTTAAATAAGTACCCAACTTATCTGGGCCATAACAGTACTAATAAAAGTACATGTGAAAAGTGTTTGGGACATATTAATCCAAACTCAGTAAGAGTTTTTACATATATGTTTCTTCTGTTAAACATTGTACAAATTTGTAGCCACTTATCCTTATGGAAATGGAAGGATTTTGATAGATTTGGAATAGAATCCTGGAACCAACACTTGCCAGCTCTGTAAACTACAGAAAATTATTTAACTTCTTTCTTCTCTGAAATAAAGATAACTACTCCTACCTAAGGCTATTAGAATACTGAATTACACAGTTTCTGGCATGGTGAGAGCTAAATATATAGCATATTTTTTTTAGTACAACATTCTGTATTTTAGCTTATTCTCTTGCATGATAAATTCATGTTTAATATAATAGTTTCCTCTTTTACAATAAAGAGGATATGAGACAATCAGAAAATATAAAGAGATGAAGTTGCAAATATAAAAATATAACCACAAATCTGATAATATGTGGTAATTTACTTTCTTGAGCTAAAGATTTTTATAAATGGTGCTCAGGCAGAATTTCTTTCTTCTACCCGCAACACTATACAAGTAGTCAAAAGCCACTTGCTGTATTGTTATGATTTTAGTTTTCATATGTCATAGATAAGGTCATTAGGAGGATTTCTTCTGTAATTGATCTTGGATTTAAATAATTACTTGGAGGATGGAGAGAAGAAAATGATTGTATAATCAGTAATCATAATATATTTTGTGATGAAGTTAATGCAGTAAAGAAAAACCATAAGGGGGAGGAGCACAATTTAGAGGATAAAAGAAAAATGAGGAAGAATAAAAAGAAATTTATGCACTTCTTGATAGAACATAAACACACTATTGTGAATTCTATTCTGACTCTTGATTCCATAGGCATGTATTATCTTAAGTATCCTGTATTATGCTAGAGGTTTCTGTAATAAAATGCTTAAACAATTTAAAACTTTCCATACAGTCCAGGCTCAAAGTTCAGGGTCAAGATGCTGATAGTGTTAGTTTCTTCTGAAGTCTCTGCTTGACTTAATGTTAGTCAGGTCTCACCGGGTTCTCACATAGCCTTTATTGTGTTTATGCCTCTCTGCTACCTCATTTTCTACACTGGGCACCTGTCCTAAAACATTAGGGCCCCATACCTACACCTCATTGAACCTTAATTACCTATTTTAGAGACCTATCTCTAAATACAAGCAAATATGGATTAGGGCTTTAATATGAATTTGGGATGGTAGAGAACAACTAAATTCGTAACAGTATGAATCCCAAATAATAAATGCAATCTGTGATCAAGAAAAAAAAATGTTTTATTAAAATCACTTAAGTTTGGCCCTCCCTGGTAGCGCAGCGGGTTAAAGCACAGCACAAAGAAGCTAAAGCCACTTCCTCATGAGTTCGATCCCTGCTTACCCTGGAGGAGATCCACATGGCGTGGCAGACCTCTCCTGACCTGCCCGCTGCTCCCCTCAGCAGTGTATTTCGTCGATCTGCCTGTTCTGCTCCCCACTCTGTCTCTGGTGAATCATCTCACCCTCTGCATCTCTGGCCTATACCCCAGTTCTGTATGAATAAATAAATAAATCTTTTAAAAAAAATCACTTAAGTTCATTCAATCTCTTAAACTGCTGTGAATAATTCATTATTTTGCATTGCGTAAAATAATTCAGTGTCATATAGCATATTAGGAAAAGCATGGGATATGTAACAGAAACTATTATCTTGTTACATGGATGAGTCACTTACTTTTTTAGCCTATGTTTTCTCACTTTAAAATTAAGAAACTTATAGCTAAAATTATTCTACACATTGGCCAGAGTTAAATGTGACTTTAAAGATAAGGAAGAAAAATTACAAAATGGGAAGCACTATGCATGTTTGTTATTTTCACTAGTTTTCTCTTTCATATATAATCTGTAGTAATATTCAGGATACTATTAATTATTTTGAAGACAGACTTAAAGACAAGAATTTAAATCATAGAAATGAAGTAATCATATTTCAAAGAATTAGAGAATAAAAGTTTTCTTTTGGAAATAAAATTATTTTATGAGGACAATATTAATATAGAGTTTTGTTTATTTAGGGTTACAGAAATACTAATCTATATAAGCATAGTAACATTGACAAGAATAAAAATTTCACAGTTCAGATCCTGTAACATTATAATGGAAATAGTCACTCAAAGATTAGTCACACTAATCTTTCCCTGATACACAAGCTCTTGAGACATTTAATAACGTAGAATTAATTTATTATCGATAAGGTGATCAGGTAAGATTCAGTAAGGCTATTCACAAAAAATGTCAAATTACTTCTCCCTTGCTGGAAAATTAAAAAAAAAAAATTGTGAAGTATGTTATAGGCTGGAACTTAACCAAAAATGTGTTGTTATGATTCTTCAGCAACTCTTGATCTTATTTTCACAGTTTGTCAATAAGACAAGTTCTTTCTTAGGCACCAGCGACAACACATGTATCACTACTCACATTTTTTTTTTCTTTTTGTCGAAAATCGGCATTAAGCAGAGCCCTTGAGAGTCTCATATAGCAGTACATGGCAAAAAAGGGGTGAGGGATGACAGAGTGCTTTTAAGACTGCATTTTATTCTCCTTAAAGCCATAGGGAATTATGTGAGCCTACTTGTAGACATCTTTCTGTGGCACAGTTCCAAGGAAGTAAGTTCTATACTGATCCTTTATGTGAGTATATTTGTATTAAACAAGGCCTTGCAATGTATTTCATAACAACTTGACTTAAAAAAATTATTTTAATTGCATTGTTACTTCACCAGAGTATAGTCCATTTAAATATCATTGTTCTGAGATTGGAAGTGGGCAGGACAGGGAGATTTGTATTCTCCTTTTTTCTTTTCACTTTCTTGTAGTTTTCTTAATATAGAATATAATGCATTTATAAAATAACTTTCCCAGTCCATTGACTGCAGGGGCACTTAACTACTCTTTTTGCTGTCTCCACCTTTTATTCTTTCTCATTTTTGGTGAAATTTCAAAAGTAGACTCTCCTTAACTTCCTTGACTTATTCCCAATCTTCACCTACCTTGGATAAGAGCTTAATTACTCTTGGTCAGATACAAAGCTAAAATTCAGAAAATACCCTTAAGTAAAACACATTTCAGTTTAAAATCCACTCTGTCTCTGGTGAAACCTCTCACCACCCTCGCACCTGTGGTCTGTACCCCAATACTGTATGCATAAATAAATAAATGTTTAAAAAAATAAACCCCACCTTGATGAATTAAAACAAAGTCCTTGATGAAGGTGACTTCCAACTTAAGTCCCAAAGGATAAATAGAAATTAAGCAGGTGGAAATGGGGGCAGGGACAATGTAACACTTGCAAAGGCCCTGGGGCAGAAATTACTGCTTATAGTTAGAAAACCTCTGATAATTTAGTTGTGCTGTGATTTTGTTTTCTTTCCTTTAAGTTGAGTAGAACTATGGCAAAGTCTTTGTCTGGCATTAGTCAGATATCTGTGTTAGCTCTAGATTGCACTGATACCTTGGTATTCCTACTTTTCCCATGTTTAAGGCTCTCTGATTTATCACATAAAAAAGTGGTTTCTAAAGAATTAGAATTTTCTTGGCCCTCCTTGGTATCTCAACAGTTAAAGTGCAGCAATTTGGAGCTATCCTCAGCCACTGCAGAACAGGTTTGATCCCCAGCCAGGGAGCTGACCCACATGGCATGGCAGACCTCTCCTGACCCACCCTCTGTTCTCCTCAGCAGTGTATTTCACTCAACCTGTCTGTTCTGCTCCCTACTCTGTCTCTGGTAAAATCTCACACCCCCACACCTCTGGCCTGTACCCCAGTTCTTGTCTTAAATACATAAATAAATAAGTCTTAAAAAGAGAGAGAGAGAGAGAGAGAGAGAGAATTAGAATATCCTGAGATCCTACTGGGAACAAGCATTGTAGGTGTTTTCTTTTGAATTTTATTTCAGAAATCTCTACCACAGGACCCCTTGGCATGGGAAGCACCACCACCAGTACCACCCTTCGGACCACAACTTGGATCCCAGGCAGAAGTACCACCCCATCGGTGTCAGGAAGAAGGAACAGGAGTACCAGCACTCCATCTCCAGCTGTCGAGGTTCTGGACGACATTACCACACACCTCCCATCATCATCATCCCAAATTCCGGCTGTGGAAGAAAGCTGTGACGCTGTGGAGGCCCGGGAAATCGTGTGGTTTAAGACTCGTCAAGGACAGATGGCAAAGCAGCCATGTCCCACAGGAACTATAGGCAAGTCTGTCCTACGGAGCTAGGCGGAAGGTGTTCTGTTACTTTGACGTGCTTCCTAACATTCCCCCCCACCTTTTATTTTGTTGTTGTTGTTGTTGTTACCACATAGTTTTCTGACTTCATAATCAATTAAATTCTTAAATTAACTATATCAAATATATAGTCAAAGAGAAAAATGCAATCTGATAGAATCACAGATAAGAATTTGGTGAATACGTATAGGTTCACTAGTTTTCATCCATGATGTGAAGTTTCTCAGTAGAGTTACTGATAGTATGGTCATCCTGATGGCTCCTGAGAACCAGCTCTTTAATGTATCATGCAGAATGAATCAATGGATTTCTAGTCACTTGTTACTATTCTCAAAGGTCGATTATATAAAATGAAGTGAAGGACATATGTCTCAGAAGATGATTGTTGAAGACTAAATCCAGTATAACTGAAGAGAAAGTTTGGCTCTTATATTTAGTCACTACTGCTTTCCTTTAATCTGAAGTCTTCCCAGATGCCTCTTTATATGTTCTGGGGTTGTTTTCACCTTTTATTTCTCCCTTCTGCTGTTTTACTATTCAGATGCAAATCTCTTATCTCAGTTACTTCAATGTTTCCTCACAACCTCCTTATTGCTCCTGCAAATTCTTCTTCTATTCTCCTACAAGGTTACTTATCTGAAATCTACATCAGCTCATTTTTCTCCCCTACTTAATGTTTATCGATTTTCTAGAACCCACAAGAAGAGGCGAGAGAGCTTCAGATTTAGCATTGCCTACCTTTGCAACTCATTAAATACAATACACCCATCTCATAGGTCTCAGTGCAAACTCTTGAAATTTCACAAAGAGAACATATAATTTCTCCATCTGGAATGCTCTTCCCTACCTTGTTTTCCTGAAAAAATCTTTGCACTGATTCCTTTAACATCTAAGTGCTACCTGACTACTGAAAATGTAAGCAATAAACCAGGGAAGCAGGGACCACAACCATCAAATTCATGGAATTACTTCCTGGACTTAGCATAGTTGCCAGTAAGTGCTATAACAGTTTTGAATGTGTTTGCTTGCTTTATTACATTTCTCCAAAGCCAGTTGCTTACCTGGCATTTTACATGGTATTTTAATAGACATTATCTCAGTTTAATGACCATTTTTACTCTGGCTCATATTTAAAACATAACATGTATATAAAGTCATTGTAAGAAAAACGGCTTGAATATTTGAAGCAGATCTATTTCTCTCATTTTAGGAGTATCAACTTATCTATGCCTGGCTCCTGGAACGTGGGATCCCCAAGGACCAGATCTCAGTAACTGTTCTTCCCCTTGGGTCAATCATATAGCACAGAAGGTAAATCTTGTGACTGACAATTTTGCCAAGCCTGATCCTTTATTGATGATTATAACTGCTAAAACCAAAAGTCAAAATTAAAAAAAGTAATAATGTGAAAAAACTCTCCCATGTTAATTTAAGGTTAATGATAACCTTTGATATACTATGTGCTAATTCTAGAATGTTGTTTTCCTTAAAGTTCAAATCCATGAATAAACCAAGCAGTAGTGCTTATAACAATTTTATTGCTAATAAAATTTGTATGGATTGTGAACTTCAGATATAAAAATCCAAGAGGTATTATAAATCAAGCAAGCAAAAGCTTCTTGCACACATACATATGAATTTTCCTGTGGAAATAATAATTTAAAGAAAAGTCTATCTTTGGAATCTTAAGCCATTTGATAAATGTTCTGTAACCTCATCATTTATCAGTGTTAAAAGTATACACATGTGTGACAGAATCTTACAGACTCAAATTTGCAGGGCTTATTTGGTTGCAATATGTTGAACATTTTTATTATTAATGCACTGTGGGGCTGTGAATTGATTTCATTACAAACAGAGACCAGATGTGCATTTATGCCAAAAGGGCTATGGGATGAATCCTTATTATAGCAATTTGTGTGGATTTATGGACTCCTAAAATGGAGAGTCCTTCTATGGCACATTAGCTCTGCTGAAGAATTTCTGAAAGAGATTTTTCCTGAGAAACATTACAAATGATGGTGTTACTAAAAGCCAGTCTGTGCCATTGCTCTTTCTCTATTTGTTTTTAACCAGGCTGATCCTCAATAATATACTGTATAATAATCCATAAATATCTACCCAGTAGATCATTTAGCAGATGAGCCATAACTATCTATTTACCCTAAATCATGGAAGAACAGTGGTTATATTGACTCTAGTTATCCTCTTACTTATTCATCCCCATACTTGTTGCTATTCATAATGCTGCTTCTCCAATTTCAGCTCCCGTCCTGCCAGTTTTATGTCCTTTGCTTTTATTGCAATGTAGCTCAGACCCCAGGGCAAATAACTCTTGCTGGATGTGATCGGATTAAGAGATCACTAGCATATCTCCTTACATTAGCAACTTTAAAAAGTACTCCCTACATACTTAGCCCAGGGTTAATATTAACTCAGTCATAATTCACCGAAAGCTAAGTGTTTTTATGATAATTCCTGAATTTAGGTGCACTGTTTCATTGCAGAAATTACTGGGTGACTTTAACTGATAATGATCCTTAATTCTTTTCTTTCCTCTGCAGACCTGCTAATCTTATGACAAAAGAGATAATTCCTTGCAAAGACCAGACAGCTGTTGCCCATTTGATTTATAGATGGAGTGTTTTGTTTTATACTAAATATATTCCATTCTTCCCGAGCATTTCAGGTTAATCCTGTAGAATCTATAAAATTATGTTATATTAGAATTATATTAAGATTATAGAATTTAGGCCATTTGAATTTATAATACTAGCTTAGCTTGATTACTCTCATATTTATTAGTATAGCAGGAGGCTTTGATGCACTCCAAATCAGCTTATGTGGTGGACCCAAGGTCGGTCAGTATTTGGAGTTGGTTTTAGCTGGGTGTACCTTTGTCAAGAGGTGCTTACCCACATGGTTCAGCTGTTACTACATCATCATTGTCTTTGTATCCCAACTCAGTCTTTTTATTTTTGTCCACCCATTTACCACACATGTCCCTTAGACCACCAACTGTTTACAATTCTCGTTGAACATAAACGATAGTTGAACGGTCTCTTTATCACAAAACTCCCAACATTTTTAGATGCTAACATTGTAAACCTCCAAGAAAAATTTCTATGTAGTGTTTACAGTTATTTGCCCATATTTTCTCTCCTTCCTCCCTAAATCATCTTCTGCCAGAATTCATCCCTCTCCTCGTTTCCTCCCTCAGTACCAGAGTCTCAATAACAAACAGATGGAAGCTTTGAAGAGGGATTATTTACAGTGTTACTGAGGGAGCAAATTAAACTGTAAGGGATAGAGCAGGAGCCCAGAGCTGGGCAAAGCTATTCCCACCCCCGGGCTGTGCCTGCTGGGTCAAAGGAGTGACTGAAATTTGGAAGCGGAGTATTCTTGAGAGGAAGTGTGACCCCATAGCCTAGACACCTAGTATCAGTTGTTTTAGAAAGAGATCTAAGGAAATAAATTCTATGTCAATTTACAGACTCCCTCCTTTCACCTACCTGACTTTTCAATCAGCCAAACCCAAAAGTAAGATAAAGACAGGATATCTTAATGACCTCCATGTAAGTCCACCTCTCTGGCTGAGAACAAGTTGGAAGAGAATGAAAAGTGACCTTTCACTAGCAAATGAAAGAATTTCTCAAAATTTATTTCCTTTTCCTATCCTCCTCTGCTTTTTTCCTCACCCCCTCCTATTCTTACCTTCTCTTCTTTCCTCTCCCTTTCATTTCTCTTTCTATTTCCCTTCCCTTCCCTTCTCTAAGGGCTTTTTATGCCATATTGAAAAATTCAAGTGAAATGGCATGTTTTATGATTCATTCCTTCCCTCCCACTTTGTAGTTCTGTGAATTTCAGACATGAAAAGTAAGATGAATACATTTCTTCCTGTCCTTGAAAGCATAGGTGAAATAATGACATACACGTGAAAAAGAATAAATTAAAAAGGTGATTCTCTCATGAAAACAGTATATTTAATGTCTTCTCTCCAGGAGCTTGAGGGTGAATCTTGCCTGAAGTGAGAGGCATTTTCTTTAAGGCTTTATAGTTTGCCTGCAGGATACTGGAGGCATTTAAAGGAAACAGCACCTCTGGATCATTCTTCCCATCTGTGCAATGGAGAACAACAATCCTTTCACTTTCAATGCTGTTCAGTCACTATATGTTCGGCATCACTGCAGACAGCAGTGCACACAAATAAATGAATTAGGATGCATATTTTAACTAGAAAATAAATTTATATTTTAATGTTCTTTAGGAAATGAGTTATTTTTTTCCCCTGGCAGTCAGACCAGAAGAGGATTTCTGACTGACAAATGAATTCAAGCCACTTACACTCTATTGAAATTACAGGTTAAATTTTGTGTGGTAGTGGAATGGATTATTTCACTGTAAAAATCCTAGTACTAAAGTCAGAAAATCACAAAGAAATTTGTTACAAACTAGTCGGAATAGTTTCATAAAGATGAGATTTTATAAAAGGCGTAATTTCTATACAAAGAGAAAAGCAAAGGTTTAACAGAAAGGGACCTTTACCATACTAACAATGTAAGGACAAGAGAAAGAGAGAGAGAGGGAGTGGAAGGAAGGCTGACAGTTGCAAAGAAAAATTGCTAATAGATAGATAAATATATTAATAGATAGGTCTGTTCTTAAATTAAATCTTGAAAGACATTTTTCTTATTGAAAGTCAACAAATTAGTTCAGAGATTTGCTTTTTCAAAGAATTGTGATAATACGGGGCTTCCCTGGTGGCACAAGGGGTTAGAGCTCAGCACTCGGAAGCTTTGGCAGCCACTGCAGCAGGACAGCAGGAGTTCCATCCCCTACCAGGGAGTTGACCCACATGGTACAACAGGCCTCTCCTGTTTCATCTGATGCTCCCCTCTGTAGTATATGTCTTGCTTTCTTAAAGATTTATTTATTTATACATACAGAACTGGGTTCAGGCCAGAGGTGTAGGGGCAGTGAGATGATTCACCAGAGACAGAGTGGGGAGCAGAACAGGCAGACTGACGAAGTACACTGCTGAGAGGAGCAGTAGTCATGATAGGAGAGGTCTGCTGTACCATGTGGGTCACCTCCCAGGCTGGGGATCAAACTTGTTCAGAAGTGGTTGCAGCTAGCTTGCAGTGCTGTGCTTTAACCTGTTGCACCACCAGGGAAGACCCAGCAGTGTTTTTCAATAGATCTGCCTTGTTTCTTAGTGAGTGCCTACTAAAATCATATTCTCTGGCTTCAGTTTGATCTCTAGCTTAGTTTAAAATTTTCATATTTTATATTTTCCATACTTTTAAGGAGTTCATTTCACTTTGTAATCCCTTTGGTCCTCTTCAATGTAAAATTCCATGAAATTACAGTTTTAAATAGTATCTTTAACATTTACACGTTAAATGAGTATTCTCCCTTCTTCATTACCTGGTCCAGCTATCATATGGAAAAGAAATGCCTGAATAGCCACTGAAAACTTGTCTTTATATTTCCACAAGTGGAGATGTATTTTATTTTGTTTGTACATAAGGTACTGACAGGTTTTGAGGTAATATATTGTTCTTCTTGCATTTTCTAAAGAAGGATGTGAAAATCTAGAAATGATATTGCCATTTACATATGACATCTGCCAGGTATTTGCCCCAGAAAACTAGGTTGAATTCCATCATCTAGTTTTTGATTTTCCCTTTTTTTTTTATCTTCTGTGTTTCTAATATAGAATAGTAATAAATTGTTCCTTAATTTAATCAGAAAGAGGATTTTTCAAGACTTACAGCTTTTTAAAACTATTTTCATTTGTGAGATTTTATTATTTATATATGCATTGACTCAAATTTACAGGAACATAAGTAGATTTTCAAAGAAATTATAGCTATATACTTAAACACAATGAGTAATTCATTCATGAATTGTCTTGGTATTCCATTAATGTTTGATATAATATCTCATAACATCTCAAAGCATCTCTCAAAGAAAATTTCTTCTGTCAAAGAAATGTTTTAACTTGTGTCAAAATTTGAAATGCAAGTAGTAGCCATCCCTGTCATAAATATTATCCTTAGCTAAAACTTCAGGTTTTCCCCTTCCCTATTCAATGCCTAGATATAATCTCAACATTCAATAAGGTATTAACTTACTAATCCTCAGTAAACTCCAGTATGCTTGTGTTTATTTCTGAGAAACAATTTTAGTAGAATTTGGCAAAATAAATGTTAGAGACAGACATTTTAATGAGGCCTCTAAGCTAGTATATTTGGATTAACTTTATTTTAACCCTGCCTCTTTGCACAGAAGTCTTCAGATTTAAGATATGGGTATGTTTTGTATGGCAATAAGAGAATTGCATTCCTTAATAATTATGGTGAGAGAAGTAAATTGTTGATCAGAAAAGTAGAAACTAGCTTCCTGATGTCACAGGCAAGAATCTGGTCAGTGAAAACCTGCCCTGGAAAAGTGTCCTTTGAACTGAGCCTTGAATATTGTGGTTCCAAGCAGCTGTGGGAAAATTAAATCAGAAACCTGGGGATGACTCCAGGAGTCTCCCTTCCTTCTCTTCCCACATTTTATGAGTGTAATCCTGACCACTTGCAAATCCCTCTCTGGTCATGCCAGCTTTCACTTTTCTCCATGGCTTTTACTGGAATCTGCTATGATAGATTATTTCCTTTCCTGCTATACCTCACAGCCAGTATGTTGTCTTTCATTTCTGAGCTTCATATGCATTCACCTGAGTTGATTTCAAATACAAATGTGATTGAACAGCTACTGTTTAGAAAATGCAGTGCCCTCTCTTTCTGTGGGCACAATTCCAGTTAGTGTCTTTGGCAGTTTCCCTAAGACTCCATGCCTCTCCTTAAAGCTATTCTTTCCTCCTGGAGGTAATTCCAGTATAATTCTTGTCCATTCCATCTCAGCATCATCATTTGTTTTCAGAGAAGCATTCCCTAACTTTCTCCTTCAGCTTTGTTCATTAGTTAAATATACATTTGAATTGCTGGCACCACACCAAGATGCTGCATTGAAATTGAAATTAAATAATTGTGCAGTTAATTTGTTCAAGGTCCTTTCTATTGCTAATCTTAAACTCATTGTTATTGGGAACAATTTTTTTTTTTTTAAAGATTTTATTTTATTTGTGCATACAGAACTGGGATACAAGCCAGAGATGTGGAGGGTGAGAGAATTCACCAGAGACAGAGTGGAGTGCAGAACAGGCAGATCAACGAAGTACACTGCTGAGGGGAGCAGCGGGCGGGTCAGGAGAGGTCTGCCACGCCATGTGGTCACCTCCGGGGCAGGCGGGAATCAAACTCATGAGGAAGCGGCTTTAGATTCTCAGTGCTGTGCTTTAACCCGCTGCGCCACCGGGGAGGGCCCTATTGGGAACAATTTTATCCACTACTATTTTTTCCAGACTATACAGAAACCAGCACTACCATTAGAGGTTCTAATTTTTGTTAAAGAATAAATGAAATAATAGATGGAATGAATAGTTGTTGAAATGATAGTAAGACAGGTTTTAAGTATAAAAAAAGATCAAATATGTATTTCATACACACAATTAGGTGTCAATATTGAATTCTGAAGGTAGAAAAGTGATTTTACTTATACATATTTAGTAGCCTAGTAGCCAAAACCATAGTTACTTTAGATTTAACATTCTAATAGCATTCTCTTAACTTTCTTATTATTTGTCATCACTCCATTTTGCCTAGGCATGGTCAACCTTCCTTTTTGGCTTTCCTTGATCACTCCATTGTGTTGCCTCCTACCTCATTTCTAAGTATTTATTATCCCTGTATTATAGTCCCAATATGCTTCATATACAGTTCTATAAATTACAATTGTATTGTTGAATTAACATCCCTACCCCCAATCCCAAGTGGCAAAATATAAGCTTCCTACATGTGAGAGATTTATAATATTCAGTTTGAGATGATTGTTAAATGAATGAAAAATGGTTACTATATTTTTTTTCAATTTCAAGAGGAAGATGAGATTACAATGAATAGTTTTAACTTTTTTTTTTAAAGATTTACTTATTTGTGCTTACAGAACTGGGGTACAGGTCAGAGGCTCAGGGGCAGTGAGAGGCTTCACCAGAGACAGTGGGGAGCAGAACAGGCAGATCTACAAAGTACACTGCTGAGGGGAGGTGGGATCGAACCATGCGGAAATGGCTTTAACTTCTTAGTGCTGTGCTTTCAATGGCTGCGCCACCAGGGAGGGCCGTTCATAACTTTTTATTTTACTTTAACAACATACTTCTCATATTAATTATAAGTATTTGTATAGCTTTGTGCTTCAATAGTTTCTTGCAATTTTTTTTTTTTTTTTTTTTTTTTTTTTTTGGTGGTGAATATTGAGTTTCAGAGTTTTTGGTGAGGGTAAATAGACTTATTTTTGAATAAGCTTTTTTTAAACATATTAAGTGCTGTTTATTTATGCATATAGAACTGGGGTATAAGCCAGAGGTTCAGGGGCAGTGAGAAACTTCACCAGAGACAGAGTGGGGAGCAGAACCGGCCCACTAACAAAGTACACTGCTGAGGGGAGCAGGCGGGTGAGTCAGGAGAGGTCTGCTGGACCATGTGGATCAGCTCTGGGGATCTGACTCACAGTGAAGTGGCTGTGGCTAGCTTGCAGTGCTGTGTCCTAACCCTTTGTACCACCAGGGAGGGCCCAGAATTTTTAATGCTAAACTATGATGATTTTGAGATAATACACTAATGATTTTTATATCTGATTCAGTTTTGCAAAACTGCACTGTCTGCTAGTGACATATGTGTGTGTATGTATATATATATATATATCTCATCACTATTTTATATGCTGAGAACAGTTAAAATTTGACTTATTAGTCATCTGTATTTTCGACTCTTCACTTACTGTATATGTAAATGTTTAAATTTTCACAGAGGGACTACTTAGACTTTCTTTCCACATTATCATTTCCCAACCTAATATCTAATAAAATTGGGTACAGCTGCAAAGCTTCCTAGGTAAAGAATAACAAATAGAATTTCTTTTACTATGTTTTTCTATTTTCTTGATTGGTTGATAAATAATTCTACATTTCTGAATGTTCTGTGAAAGATATAATGGCAGCCAGTATTGCTAGATTTAAATTGAAGATACTTTGTATTTCCTAGTTCAGTAGATCTCAAACTTTTTTCATTGTGGTCTTATAAGTGATCTAAAATTTCCTGACAGCTAGCTATCTGCCCTAACATTTCTCATAGAAGGAGTTTTGTGTGGTAATGACATGTAAATAAGCCAATATAATAACAACAATGAGAAAGTATTAAAACAGGTACACAAGAATAATGTAGCTAACAGAGTAATAGTAATATTGCAATTATATTTACTTTATCAGTAGCATAGGTGAAAGATGGCAACAAATAACAGACTAAGCATTATTAGTGGTGCTTAAATTAAAAGGGTGTGTATGCCTTTGAGAAACTATAGGAATTCAGAGAACAGTTTTGTAGTTACAAACAATTATATCAGATGCTCTGAGTTATTGTCAGACTGCTTATTTTGAATATTTATTGAATGCTAGAATCTCACTAATGAATACTGAATCTTATTATATAAATAAATTATAAATGGTTAGTTAATTTGCTAAACTAAGAGAAGCTTCCTGAAAACATGATTTTCAAATGAGATATTAAAGAAAAAGATGAATTGGCAGGGAAACTTGGGAAATGTATTCCAGGTGAAGATAGAGTTTGACTTATATGCAAAAGCAATTGCCCCAAGAGACCAATAAAATTCCTTATTTAAGAAATTCCCCTTGTTATTATGCTTTCAAAATTGTAGTTGAAATCTGGAGAGACAGCTGCCAACATTGCTAGAGAGCTGGCTGAACAGACAAGAAATCATTTGAATGCTGGAGACATCACCTACTCTGTCCGTGCCATGGATCAGCTGGTGGGACTCCTGGATGTGCAGCTGCGGAACTTGACCCCTGGTGGAAAAGATAGCGCGGCCCGCAGTTTGAACAAGGTAAGGCCTTTAGTGATCTGTATGTGTACCTTTAAAATTGTGGTCAAGTCAGTGACACTTCCCTGATCAACTGTTCTCTACTCTAAACATGAGATCATTAGACAGAGATTTGTTAAACATTTTAAATTCAGTTCACTTTTTCATTATAATAAAGAACTTACTTGGCTTTTCCTCTGAAGAAACAATGAATGATCATCCTTCCCATATAGTCTGAATTTCCAATTCTATCATCCCTAGTGGTTACTCAGTTTGTATGCTAAATTTTCACAAAATTAATGTGGCTAATGCAATGTATTTCTTTCTTTTTTCCTCTTTTAAAACTTTATATTAAAATAATTGTGGTAAAACAAATGTCCTATCAATAAGTAGCTTAGAAAATAGCAAAAACAAGAAATGATATGAGTATTCCATTATAACTGTTTTATATAAGAAGACATATAGCCCAATTAATATTTTATTTAAAAGGTCATAGGGCAACTTTGTTTTAATTTCATCTAATTTTTATACTTAAATTAGATTTTCCAAACCAACTATTAAAACTTAAGGCATTTAAATATATCTCATTTTTTGAATTATCAATAATCAAAATAATTCATTTAAAATACTTCTGTGATTATACATCTTATGTATATTTACATTAGTAAAGATGCATATATTTATATGCATTATATAGAACCACTTTATATATATATAAAGCTTGTGCACTGTAGAAACATTTAATTTACCTAAATCTATTAACTTTATAAGGAATATATTTATAAAACAAACTTTCAAATAGTGAATTAACCAATGTGAAAAGATAATTGGAATTGCTACAGTGAGAGGACTTGTGATCCCTGAAAGCCATTTCTGTAGTAGACTTCATCAGTTGTTGAAATGTATTTTTAAAACCTCAAATATCATGATAATCATACTACTTAAAGCAAGAATTTGGTGATGACAGACTAATGTCCTCTGTGGAATTCTCTAAATGAACATTCCCTTTTAAAGTGAAAAATTACTTTGTAGAGTGGTCTTTTTATATTTGGTTCTTTGTCTTATTAGACTAAATGTCTCATTCATCAAGATAGAAAATATTTTTAAAATAATGATGGCTCTACATAGAAAAGCCAGATATTTTACCCGACAAGTGCAGTTTTTCCTGTGTTTTCATCTTAAGTTTTATCTTATATATATATATTTTTTTCCCATCATGAGCATAAAGGAGTTATTTTTACATATACCCATGATAGAATCATAACCAAACCTCTGCTATATTATAATCCACAACTGCTCATATAATGTGGGCATGCTGTGATATTAACATGCTTTCACTCAGGCTGACTGTATGTTATTAATGAGTATTGCTGCCGGCTATGGTTATCATAATGCACTGAAAAGTATATTTCTATTAATGTTATATATCGATCACATTACTTGTTATATCAGTACTTAGTATCTTTATTTTAAAATGCTGTTGATGCCTGTTGATATCACGTAAAGCTGGCAATTAATGTCACATTCTAACTGGCTACAGCTAATCAGCTTTCCTATTCTGAATATCAAATAACCAAGTAATGGACAAATTTCCATTTGTTAAGCTATTTAATGCTCTTTTGTTTCCCATTTGGCTCTTTTCAATAGTTTATATAATGTGGTTTGTCATATGTTAATTTGCATGGTGGAATAAGGAGATGGGAGGGTAAAGGTTATTCACAGCTTGTTGGCTGTGCCTTCATTTCCTGTGGTTCTCACTGTTCCCTGAAGCAGTTATAACCCATCAGATTTGCAAAGTCAATACCATACAAATCAGTTCAAATCTACAACGAAATTCTGGAGGGTTTAGTGTCCTGCAAAACCGCAAAACAGGAGCTGCTATTCAGTGATCCAAATGAGAGGGAAGGCAACTCTCTCACCCTCATTTCTCACTCAACTCATTAGAGAAGTAACTGCTCTATGTTCAGTGAAGAATGCTTGAATTAAATTTGGAGAATATTAACCATACAAAAAGTATCAGGTTAATGGCTTCTTAAAATAGGATGATTTTCTCCTTCACAAATATCAAAGCAACTGAAGGAAAAAAATAGAAAAGGGAATCAAAAGCACAAATTTGTAAAATTTGGGGTCATTTATTTAAGCAATTACACTTATCTATCGTTCATTTAATCATCATAACAAAAAGTTGAGTTGAATTTGAGTTGCTGTTACCTTTTTGTTTAGAAAAAAATGTTACTTTGTATGTAAACAAATAAAACATGTCTCATCTCACAGAAGTTGCTAAAATAAATATATGTTTTGGTTCAAAATAAATTCTTAAACTAAGTAGTGATTAATGAAGACGTTCACAATTTTATTTTAAACAAATTACCTTACTTATCTCTTGCTACTTATTCTTTAGAGTCAAATAGATATAATGAATGGGCATTTTCACTTTTCCCAAAACAGATTTTCTTGTATGTGCAAACATGTTTTGTGGTGCATATTAACTACCTATCAAATCACCAAACCACAACCCGTGGACTAGCATTGAAAAACTAATTTTTACCAAATTTTAATGTAATTTATTTGACTTTATATATCTTCATTTAAATAATAACTGACCTAATGTGAAATTAATCATTTTAAATGAATGAAATACTGATTTTTACTAATTTCTACTAAATATATTTGAAGATTTCTTCCATCATTAACAGCTTTATATCATTTGCTTTTCACTTGGGTTGTTCTGTAAGGGTTTTGGTTATTGTTTTCCAAGCCATTGCTTATATTTTGCTGCTGCTTAGCTTTCATCTCTCTTCTAGAAAGTCTTGCACAAGAAAATAAGTTGTTTTGTGTAGATGTGTTCTTTTATTTTCTTGTTTTCTTCTGTCACTAACTTGTTTTTTCTATTCTGTGTTTAATCTGCTGTCTTAATGGATTCAGCTTCAGAAAAGGGAGCGCTCTTGCAGAGCCTATGTCCAGGTACTTTCTGAGTTTTTATAAATGTGTTGCTTTGTTAAATTGTCTCTGTTGCTGATATCATATATGGGCAACTGATAGAATAATAATGTACCTTGTTTTACTAAAAATATTTTGGGGGGATGGGCATGAGAATGGGAGTGGAAAGACATTAAGTAAGGCAATATGCTAAGAAGCTATTTGATAGCATCCCTGATGCTTTGTCAAACCAGAAGAACACAGATTGAGTTTGAATTTTTGTATCATCACTAAAACATGGGTTGGATTTACCTTATAAATCTCTAATTTCTTATAGAAGTAGGTATGAAAACACTTTAGATTTTGAACCAGCTTCTTTTTGAGTTGCCGGTCATCCAGAAATGATAATCAAAGTCATATAAGATTTGATATAGTGGATGCAGGGTACTTGAAATACTATGTTTCTATGCCAAAATGAGCCTGTTTATTGTTTCAAGACATATTTTGGTTATCTTACTCTTATACTTGTTATTACATGTTAATCTCAGTGTGACTTCTACATGAACATCTTGTAATTTTTTTCTTAAGCAGGTTAAAAAACATTACTGTATTTATGGAATCTCTGTGAAAAAGAATCCCAGAAGCAACCTTTATAGTTCTTTTTTATTAGAAGGGATGAAAGGAAGGAGAAACAGTTGTAGGGAGGGAAGAAGAAAGGAATTGAAGGAAACTAGGTGACCATATAACTGTAAACTTTATTAAATATATACATATTTTATATAGGCACATATATACATATACATGTGTATCATAACATCTTTAAAGAGGAAGACCAACTGCATTTATAGAGACATGCCCTCAAAAACCAATCACTGCTTTTCAATTTTGTATTCTAGTAACTGTAACTAGTAAGTTTATCACCAAAAGGGGATTTTGTGAGCCATTAAAAAAGAGATAAAAATGAATGTTGAACAGAGATTAGGAAGATAAACTTTTAGCTTGCATTTTGCTTAACTAACAAATCTTTGTGTATGAGACCTGTTTAGGTTTCTTTTTTTTTTTTCCTATGATTTTGGGATAGAAATTGTGCAAAAAAATATGTATAATCTATATTCTCTTAGCTTGTGCAGTACAACAATTGAAGTATTCTTCATTACTGAAAGCTGAACATCACTTTTAAAATATTGGATTATTTTGGATTGTGATCAATACTATCCCCTGAATGGGGCCTTGCAGATAATTAGCTTTTCATTATTTAAATCTATAAAGTGCATTGTCATTCAAACATGACTCTCTGATGGAAAATTAATAGAACAGTTAGTCCAATGACTGATATCCTGGTGTTATAAATGGCTGACTATAAATAAATGTTTCAGCTATTGACTAAACATCTGATAAAACCAAATATAAGCAGAATATTAGGAAGCTAAAATGCTTTGTTCACTAATACTTGGTATTTCTTCTGTTTGCTTTAATTGTAGGTAATTATTCTATGAAATTGTAGAGTGAAAGATATTTTAAGCTTTAATTTGTTAGAATTCCAAACACTTGTTTTATGTTCCTATTGTTTCATTGCTCAGAGCATATTCTGAGCTATTTATGAAATAGGTGTAAAATACATTTGAAGTGCTTTATGCACTTGAAAATGGTAATTGGATGTTGTAAGAGTCTTTAAAAAAATAGGGCTCTTCCATAGGATTAATTATTCTTGGTTTGATTTTGACCTTCTAAAGTTATTTAGCTTTTATGTATTTATTTACTTTTTAAGGACAAAGTAAAATATTTATTAAATGAACAAGTATATAATACAGCGAAGTTTTTTATGTAAGCAATTACCGAATATAATACAATGATGTAAACCAATGTTACCAATGAAATATTTTTTTAATTATATATAACAGTTTATTTTTACATCATTTTGTTCATTTTCCCATCTCATTTGCAATCCCCTTCCCATCACCAAATCACCCATGTGCCATCACCATAGTCCAGTGTATTTCCCTCCCCTCTACTGTTTTTGATCCCATTCCCCACTCCACCCCACAAAATGTTTCTGGTATATAGTTGTTCATCATTATCATTATTTTCTTGCCTGTTCCGTTATATTCCTGCTACAAGAGAAACCATCCAGTATTTTTCCTTTTCTTTCTGGCTTATTTCACTAAGCATGATCTTTTCCAGTTCCATCCATGTTGCTGCAAAAGACAAGTGTTTCTTTTTTTGTTGCTGAATAATATTCCATTATGTATATATACCATATCTTTTTAATCCTCTCATCTATTTTTGGGCATTTGGGCTGTTTCCATATCTTTCCAATTGTGAATAAAGCAGCAGTAAACATGGTGGTGCAGTTATCTTTTGGAATCAGTGTTTTTGTGTCTTTTGGGTAGATACCTAGGAGTGGGATTGCTGGGTTGTCGGGAAGCTCCGTGTTTAGCAGTTTGAGGAACTTCCCTACAGTTTTCCATAGTGATTGTACTAGTTTGCATTCCTACTAGCAGTGCAGGAGAGTTCCTTTTTCTCCACATCCTTGGCAACATTTTTTTGTTGCTAATTGTTTTAAGATGTGCCATTCTCACTGGAATGAGGTGGTATCTCATTGTGATTTTAATTTGCATCTCCCTTATTACGAGTGATGTTGAACATTTTTTCAATTGCTTGTTGGTCATCTGCATTTCCTCTTAGGAGAAGTGTCTTTTTAGCTCTACTGCCCATTTTTTGATGGGGTTGTTTACTTTATTTTTGTTGAGTTTCATCAGTTCTCCTTATATTTTTGTGATCAAACCTTTATCACTAGTTTTATGTGAGAAAAATTGTTCCCAATCAGTGGAATGTCTGTTTGTTTTTGTAATGTCTCTTTTGCTGTACAGAAGCTCTTTAACTTGATGTATTTCCATCTATTTATCCTTGCCTTCACTAATGTTGCATTGGGTGCTCTATTTTTAAAGATGTCACTAAAGTGTATGTCATGTAATGTTTGGCTCATCTTTGCTTCCAGGTATTTTATGGTTTCCATTCTTATGTCTAGGTCTTTAATCCACTTCAAGTTGATTTTTGTGTATGGTGTGAGGTAGTGATCTAGTTTCATTTTTTTGCATGTAGCTTCCCAGTTTTTCCTGCACCATTTGCTGAGAAAACTTTCTTTGCTCCTTTGTATCTTCTTTGCTCCTTTGTCAAAGGTTAGCTGTCCATAAACCTGTGGGTTTATATCTGGGTTTTCTATCTGAATCCACTGGTCTGTATGTCTGTTCTTGTTCTAGTACCATGCAGTTTTGATTATTATGACTTTGTAGTATAGCTTGAAATTTGGGATTATAATGCCTCCATTATCTTTCTTCCTAATTATGAGAGCTTTAAATCTTCAAGGTCTTTTGTTGTTCCATATGATTCTCATCAATATTTTTTTTTTTTATTTCTTTAAAGAATGTCATTGAAACTTTTATTGGGAAGGCATTAAATCTGTATATCGCTTTTGGCAGAATGGCCATTTTGATGATGTTATGAGCAGGGTATGTCTTTCAATTGCATGGTGTCTTCTTGAATTTCTTTTAACAGTATTTTGTAATTTTGTATGTATATGTCTTTTACCTCCTTTGTTAGGTTGATTCCCAGGTATTTGGATTCTTTTTGTTTTAATTGAAAAGGGGATTTTTTTTATTATTATTTCTGTTTCTTCTGATTGGTTGTTTGTGTGTAGGAAGTCTCTGATTTTTGTGTGTTGATTTTAGCTTTTAATTTTTTTAGAAGTACAGTGTCTAATTATCTAGATCCATTTTTTGTTTATTTCATGAAAAAGTTTACTGAAACCTGTATATTAGCTATCAATTATGACAGTTGATTTTTATGCTGAACAATTATTATAATTTATTTAAATATTGATAATATATCAATATCCTATAACTTGTTGTGCTTTTTTCTCATATTTTGACAAAACCAAAAAATTGTGTTTCCAAAATATTTTTCTTTATTATAATTTTAAACTATACTGAAACCTTGTATACTTTTAAAAGACAATTCACATGTGTGGTAGTAAAAAAATACCATCACTGTATCTCAGGCATGATACATATCTTTATTTAAGAAGAACATTTTTTTTTTTTTGCCAGTGAAAACAAATAAGACTTATATAGGGATAGAAGGGAAATTTTCCCTATATTTCTGAGATTCTTCTGTTGGTCCAGCAAACATTAACTTCAGAATAGCAGGAGAAAGAAGATGTTTAACTATATATGTTTGGTAAATTAAAGTGAATATAAATTCTAGAGTAAATAGGATAGAAAAAGGGTTTTCATTCTTGATCTGAGGAATGGAATAGAGGTATCAAGGAGAGGGGAGGGTTCTCCCATACAAGGAGTGGTTGATTCATAATGCAAACCAAATACTTGGTAACTGGATGCTACTATGTAGATAGTTATTTATAAATTGATGAATTTTCAATTCTAGGTATTTGAGGTTATTATAACAGTTTCTCCTAAAACTCACAGTGCCTCAGTGGGTCTTAGCTGTATATGCCAAGATGACACATACTGGAGGAAACCTATTCTGGATACTTTGGGAGTTAGCTATGCATTCTTCATTTGCTTTACTATAATGTTGTATTACCAGAAGAGAACTTAAGAGATGAATATGTGTTAACTGAGATCTGGAGAGATAAAAATCTCATAGCTACTGCACACCTGTTACTCTCCTGATTTAAGTCTAGTGCTTCTTTAAAATAATGACTGAGAATCCCAATCATTCATTAAAAATACATTAGTTAGGGATTAATTATATGGGAATCATCATATAGACCCTTTCATATAAATTCTTATTTTATTGTCACAGAATTATATATAATATTCTTAACTTGCAGTAGAAAAACTAGAGTCCAGGTAGAATCAAATACCTTTTACTCCATCATTGAGGAGTAATTAAGGGGTCCTGAATTCAAAACTAGATTTTCCTGATTCACTCAGTTAGACTCCATATTCCCAAGATACTAATGTTGCAGAACTGACATTATTGATATTAGGAGTTAAGATACATACATACATGTGTGTGTATGC